TGTAATGAAAGACTAATATATATATATATATATAATAATTTAAGGATGCGCTTATAATGAAGTACGAGTACACAAGGGGGTGCGCAACGGCCATAAGCGCCATGCCCCAGATAGTGTTAGAATTAAGGTTAATTCGGGTTGCTCCAATAAACATATGTAGTGATACATCTACACTATAGTAGTGTAGAATACATTGGTTGGGTTGGGAGAACTTGTGGTGTACACTCTATGGAGTGGACCACCTCCCAAACCCTATAGGTTAGGGTTCTCTCTTGTTGGAACTTCACTTCTTTGAAACCACTTTGGATCTAGCATGGTTCATGCCCAAATGGGCTCCTAAGATTCCTAGGCTTTAGGAGTAAGTTCTAAGACTACTAAAGCTTCCGCTAGTAGCTTAGTCCATTCTAACATGGTATCAGAGCTAGGAAGGCCTAGCGATCTGTTGGAATAGGAGCCACTCAAGAAATTTGATCATAACACATTGGTGGAAGCTAAATAGCTTCCATCCCTCCCGAAGGGCTGCCGAAATTGCACCGTGGCGGACTCTGGACGTGGGAGGGGAGGAGGAGAGAAGAAAACTGTTGGAAATCATGTGGATCCGTTCGGGAGGACGAGAAGAGCGACATCCATTCACGGAGGCACTCAGTCAACTTTGGCCGATCAAGACGTGCAGCATACCGTTGGAAAGGTCTCGGCACGATCTACAACAATTGCCTCGGGATCTTTGCCAATCGACGAGCGGATCGGACGCAATTCGCGAAATACAGTCGGCGGACGAATTGAAAAATCGCGAATCGGGGAAGATTTACAGCGCGAAAAAAAAGATTGGAGGGCAGACGCCGACAGAGGAGGCCAGGGCGCATCCAACAAGCAAAAAATCGGGAGAAACGGTCGAGTCTTCGTCGACGGGAAATCGGCCAACTTCGACGAGTTTAAGTGGCCAGCTCAGATGCGGGATCCAGGAGCGCGAAACATCATCGGAACGGTCTCGGAGCAAGGATTCGTCTGAGTCAAACGGCTCATCATTCGGACGTTCGAGCACGGAGTTACACTCTAATAACCAAGAGGGGGTGAATCCGCCCGCATCATCTTCATCGTCACCGCCGTTGCCTCCACCATCACCTCAACGTCAATCTTCAGTGCTCCTGCCGCAAATGGAGTATGACTCAGGCGAAGGGAAGCTGGAGAGTGCGCCAAAGTTCGACGGGAGCGACTATTGGACTTGGAGCTTCCGATTCGAGCAATGGGCAGAGGCACACGATCTACGGGGGTATTTTGATGGTTCGGAGGAGCGGCCTGCATCGGGTGACGCACGGCTAAAGTAGAAGAGGAGAAATCAGAAGGCATTTGCCCAATTCTGCAATGCCTTGGTGCCAGATGAGTTGATTCGTTTGGTACGGGAGTTTGGCGGCAAGACCGAGTTGGGAAACGCACTTGTTGATGGCGGAGCAAGAGCGGTCACCCGAGTTCCTGCAGGCACAGCAGCGGCATACACACGAGTGAAGGAGTTCTACCTTCAGCGTGGATTGTGTAACCGGATGGCACTCTCTAAGGAACTCTCTTCCTTGAAGATGAAAGAAGGGGAGGGAGTGGCTGCATACTGGGCGCGTGCCGAGGACTTGAGGTCCAAGTACTTGGCTGCAGGAAGGAAGGAGGAGGTTGAGGAGTGAATGATGAGGGTACTCAAAGGACTACCTCCTCACTTTGAGATGCTGAAGGTAGTGCTGAACAACTAATCACCATCGCTTACTAAGGATCAGCTGCTGATCTCCTTGCGGAGCGAGGAAATGCGGATTGGTGTCGCACCAAGATCGGATGGTGTAGCCACTTTTGGAGCGGATACGAAAGTGGGCAGCAGCGGCAGGGGAAATTGGGACAAGGGAGGAAAGCATGGAGGCAGCGGTAGCAGCAGTGACACCAACTCGGGCAGATGGGGTCAAGGAAAAGGCAAAGCTGGAGTGCTTGATTTCCCCTGGGGATCCAAGGGCATGGCTCCTCGGAGGTTGTGTCATGGCTGTTGGGATGAGGGACATGCATGGCAGCGATGTCCTCATCGACCTAAGGGAGGCATTCCGGCATTCTTAAAGCGGGGGGGTCGTGGATCCAACGGCAAGGCACAGGTGGCGGATGAGGAGGAGCAGGATGACAAGGCAGAGGCAGTGGTTGGAGAGGCAGTTGCAGCAGTGGGAGAGGAGCAGCCGCGAGAGGGGTGGTGGATTGACAGTGGGGCCAGCCACAACTTTACTCCTTATGCATCGGACTTCAAAAGTAAGCTTCAGCCACCAGAGGTTCGGGGAGTTAGATTGGGAGATGGACGGGTGGTGAAAGCTATTGGCATGGGTGAGGTGCCAGTGGTTGGTGCTGGAGGTCAGCTGTTGAGGATTCAAAAGGTCCACCTTGTGCCTGAGATGCACACGCGTCTGCTGTCAGTCCCACACCTCACCTCTCGAGATGTCATTGTCACGTTCAAGGGCAAGACATGTGTTCTTAAACGGGGGAAGAGGGTGTTGGCGATAGGAGAAAAGGAGAGGGGCAGGGACCATGGATTGGTGCGGATGTCTCTTCCTCTTGCTCGGGGCACACAAGGCAGTGCTCTTGCAGCTGGGTCCTCCTCCTCATTTTCCCCATTGACCCTTGCTCATCGCCGCCTTGGTCACACCGCCCCCACAACATTGCAGCAGATGGCTCGGGGGAACAGTGTACTGGGCTTGGAGATCGGAGGGGGGAGCGCTGATTGCTCCCCATGTGAGCCTTGCTTATTGGGAAAGTCAGCTCGGAAGCCGTTTCCCCACGAGGCGTCTCGGGCACTTGGGCCTTTGGATGAGGTCCACATGGATTTGTGGGGGCCAGTGCGCACACCGTCACTGGGAGGAGCGGTGTATGTCCTCAGTCTCATTGACGACTTCACCAGACGAGTTTGGTCGTTCCCACTCCCCAACAAGGAATCGGCCACAGTTGCAAAAGTCCTTCGCCAGTGGCATAAAGACGTGGAGTTGGAGTGTGGGCCGAAGCTGAAGGCTGTTCGCTCCGACAGGGGTGGCGAGTTCTTGGGGGACGCTATGAAAGCATGGAAAGCGGAGTTTGGCATCAAAACCCAATTGAGTGTCACAGATACACCGCAGCAGAATGGGGTCGTGGAGAGGTGGCACAGGACGATGGCAGAAGGGATTCGCACATTGTTGGTCGACAGTGGTCTCCCTGCTCGCTTGTGGGGTGAAGCATTGATGTGGGTCGTGTGGGTTAAGAACAGGGTCACCCACAGTGCTTTGCCTGCCTCCATCACACCAATAGAGGCGTGGTCCGGCCAGAAGCCGCATGTGGGCATGGCTCGGATTTGGGGTTGCATGGGAAGTGTCATGCTGCATGGGCATGAGAAGGGTGGCAAGCTTGATGCACGCGCTGTCATGTGTGTCTGTGTTGGGGTGGACATGGAGAGCAAGGGTTGGCGCATGCTGGACCCTTCTCTCATGCGCATTCGCATTGCTCGGGATGTTGATTTTCTTGAGAATGTGATGTGGAAGGATTGGGACAAGGCAAAGGGATTTGGGGAGCTTCTGCAGGATGCAGCTGAGATTTCCCAGCTCCTCCCTCTTCCACTCTCGCCACCTTCAGCAGCGGTTGACGACGCTAAGATGCCACCTTCATCACTGCCACCGGCACCGCTGAATGTGTCGGTGCAGCAGCGGCCCACCCCTCTGCAGCAGCTCAGTGGCCCCTCGGTCATTCAGCGGAGATCCGCTACACAGGCTACTTCCTCTTCCTCCTCCTCTGGTCCGCGCTCTGCCCCTCTCTCTACGGGTGCCCCTCCGTCACCAGCGACTACCTCCCCACCACCGGTTACGGGTTTGCAGGTGCTTGGTATCCAGTCTGGTACAGGTGGTGAGGAGGTAGGGGGGGATGCTGGTGTGGTTGAGGGCATGCTGTGTTTGGCCAGGGAGGTGGAAGGTGTTGCACTGGCAGGTGTGAGCACTGGTGATGTCCCACGCACACTCGCTGAGGCCCTGCGTGGCCCTGAGGGCCCTGCGTGGAAGGCAGGTGCTGAGAAGGAGGTAAATGCGATGCGCACTATGGGTGTATGGGATCCAGAGCCGGTCGACTTACCTCCAGGTAAGAAGGCCATTGGGGTCAGGTACGTTTTCCGCAGGAAAACTGACAAGGAGGATAAGGTGGTACAGCACAAGGTTCGCCTTGTTGCTAAGGGGTACACTCAGGAGCCCGAAAAGGACTATGATCAGGTATTTGCCCCTGTGGGCAAGCTCACCTCAGGTCGGGTGCTTCTTGCAGAAGCCGCGGTAAAAGGGTGGCATGTACAACAGGAGGATGTTGATCATGCTTACCTCAATGCAGTCCTTCAAGAGGAGGTGTATGTGAGGCAACCTGAGGGATTTGATGATGGTACAAGTAGGGTGTATCGCTTGCGCAAAGCTCTCTATGGGCTCAAGCAAGCGCCTCGTGCTTGGAATGAGGAGATTGGTTCCACCCTGATTGCAGCAGGGTTTGACCGCAGTGCATGTGATGAGGCTCTGTACATCAGATTTGTGGATGAAGAGCCAGTGTATGTATTGGTGTATGTGGATGACCTCTTGCTTGTGTCTCCACGCTTGGAGCTGATCGGTCAGGTCAAGGAGGTGCTTGCTCAGAGGTACCAGATGAAGGATCTAGGTGAGGTATCCACGTACCTTGGTGTGGAGGTTCGCAGGTCGATCAAGGATGGGTGGTTGGAGATTGGTCAGGAAAAGTATGTCCGTGGTCTTCAGGGAAGGTTTGGTGATCTGCTGAAGGAGACCCATAGGGTGCATACTCCAATGTCACCCAATGTTCTCTCTAAGATCAGGAATGGTACTTGGTCGACTGAGGAAGGTGTCGCAGCTGATATCAAGGTGTACCAGAGTCTAATTGGCAGCCTGATGTATGCTGCTGTGACCACCCGTCCTGACATGTCTTTCACTGTCAACACCCTTGCACAGTCCTGCGTGGCACCAAGACGCATTCACATGCGCGCTGCACTGAGAGCACTCAGGTACTTGGTCGACACAGCTGATCGTGTCATCAGGTATGAGCGCCAAGGTGGTGAGCAGGTTGTTGGGTACACAGACTCGGATTGGGGTGGTGAGACTGATGGCAAGAGTCGCTCTGCCTACATCTTTAAGCTGGGAGGAGGAGCAATCAGCTGGTATAGCAAAAAGCAAGACAGTGTTGCAGCAAGCGTTTCTGAAGCTGAGTACAAATCTCTATCGGAGGGGGCCAAGGAGGCCATTTGGTTGAGGAGTTTGTTGGCAGAGATGCATGTGGGGGATGTGGGGGCTATTCCATTGCTCTGTGATAATGAGGCTGCTGTCTCCCTTGCCCACAATCCCGTTCTCCATCAGCGCACCAAGCACATTAAGGTGGCATGGCACTTTGTACGGGATGCGGTGCGCCAGCAGGAGGTCGAGGTGCACTCAGTACGCTCCCACCTCCAGGATGCCGACATGCTCACCAAAGCTCTCCCAAGCTTGCAGCTGCATGAGAACTTGGAGCGCATCGGCATGCGAATGATGGCTGCGAAGGCCAAGGCTTCATTCGCTGGAGGGGTTGTGTTTTGATTTATGGATGAACTTTAATGCTTATTGGAGCAAGGGGGGGTGTTAGAATTAAGGTTAATCCGGGTTGCTCCAATAAACATATGTAGTGATACATCTACACTATAGTAGTGTAGAATACATTGGTTGGGTTGGGAGAACTTGTGGTGTACACTCTATGGAGTGGACCACCTCCCAAACCCTATAGGTTAGGGTTCTCTCTTGTTGGAACTTCACTTCTTTGAAACCACTTTGGATCTAGCATGGTTCATGCCCAAATGGGCTCCTAAGATTCCTAGGCTTTAGGAGTAAGTTCTAACAGATAGAGAGTAAGTTCTAACAGATTCCTAGGCATTAGGAGTAAGTTCTAAGATTCCTAGGCTTTAGGAGTAAGTTCTAAACCCATTCTAACAGATAGAGCCGCTGGCGCCTGTAATTGGACGGCGCCTATATCCGGGGCCATACGGTATAATGTTTTCACCCCCAAAGGAGGTTATGACCGAACCCCGATAGATGGTTTCACCCCGGAAGGAAGGTATAACCGAACCTTAACAAAATGCTCTTTAACAGCGACAAGTGGTTTATCCAGAGGGTTCATTGCAGGAAACGCGGAACCTGTATATTAAGATTTTAACGAAGCAAGCATGAAAACACATATAAAAATCTAAGAAACAGACAACATTCAACATATAATGAGGATCCTCATACAGATTAGCATACCGTACCAACTGACAAGCTCACCTCAATCCAAGGTTATATTTATGGCACACAAATAAACCTGGAGCCTACACTCCCAACACACTTCTTCTCATTGTACATGTAGTATTTTGAAACGGCTCCATTCTGAGCTCCACCATAGAAGCTATATGCACCTGAGCACGTCAATGATGGCGATACTGGTTTTTGCCTACCCTTCTTGCATCTGCCGACATCGAATGACCAATACTCTGCTCGTAGGCAAATCTGCAATCGCGCCATTTACAAACACAAGGAGTGCAAGGAACAAAATATGAGGTAGAAGAAGGAAGAGATTGGAACAATAAGAGAAACATTCCTTACTAGTGATTACGGGCAAATAGTTGGAACGAAGGGCTTACGAATCTTGCAGCAAGAGCACATGAGGGACGATCTTTGCACCCTCACCCACAGTTTTCCCCTCCACCTTTTCCTTCTATCTCTTGTCCCCGTCCTCTCCTGATCCATTCTCCTCTCCACCACACACCTGCACGACAGTGTTGCTTCCAACAGCAGAGGCGGTGATCGGGATGACATCAGAGCAGATGAGGCCGGGATTGTTGCGGCACAGCTCAGCCCAGCGCATGGCATTCACCTCCCCAGCCCCTGTTGGGTCGCCCTCACTCCCTGCCACCTGCCGCAGCAGGCGCTCGCACGTGTCTTGTGGTGTGAGCACACCGTATCGCGAGCACTGAGGGACGGTGAAAGCGAAGGTGGCGTTGCGTTCGACACACAGAGAGCGACCCGCCTTGATGGGCTCGAAGCAGTCGAGGCCGGGATTGAGAGCAGTGAGGTTGCTGCTGGTGAGGCCCAGCTGCGTGCTGATGGACCAGCATGTGTCGCTCTGAAGGGTTGAAGAATGGGAGAAAGGCACAGATGTCTGCGGTGAATAGATTACAGTCTACTATGACCAATGCAGATCCGGCTGAGACGATAAAGACTGCCTTGCTGAGCTGATGCAAAACAGAGAACAAAGGTCATGGTGAGCATGTAAAGGATAGCTTCAGAGGTTTGAACAACATGAGACAATGTATAATACATAAACCCTGGAGGCAAAGCAGGACGTCTGTACTTCGTGCAATGCTGAAGTAGGCTGGGTTGCTAGAATATTATTGATTGGCCAAGGGCAACCAGGGCTGAAGCTCACGCTGATGGTGTAGAAGAATGCGGTGCAGGGAATGAGGAGAGAATTCCCCAGTTGAAGCACCACGTTACGAGGCAAAGGACGACTGCAGTCAATGGCCTGCAATGAGAAGCACAGACATCTCAGAAATTGAAGTATAACCAAGTTACGGATTCTGTGGGATTACTGCGTGCATTCAAATCAGCCAATAACTTCATTAGAGTCCTGAGGACATTGCAGCTCATGCTTTCATGCTGTATCACCATCTCTGCCTGCACCTCCACTCCTCTAGACTCGCCATCTCTACTGCTTACCGGATTATTCTGCGTGAATTGTGCAAGTGAGAGGCCCACAAGAGGGAGAACATCGGAGCACCACCAGTTGCTTCCACTCACTGCCAGGGTGCTGGCCGTGGTGTTGGCTGAAGAGGAATGAGATAAAAAGAAGGGGAACACACCAAGCAGAGGGGCTTAACTCACAACGAACTTACTAGTATTTGTGTACAGATCAAACTGCAGCCTTTTCTTGGCCGTCCGGTTCAATTAGAACCAATTCAGTTCCACATCAAGCCGACTCAGTTCAGCGATTTTGTCACGGCTACCGAGGAGCACAAGCATTTTGAGAGGTTCGTGATGACCCCAACATTTGGTACAATAATAACTAAAAAGAGTAGTGAACTTCTTGCAAACCAGGCCAAAGCAGCAGCACCTGGGTCGCAGGTAGGGAAGTTGTCAATGGTTGTGCTTTCAACGTAGTTGGGAGGGCAGATGCAGGAGTAGGAGCCCTTGCCATCGTTGATGCATGTGCCCACATAGCAGGGGTTCTTCAATTCAGACGTCCACTGGCAAGCGATGCGAAGCACAATTGTGGAGCACAGGGATGAGGTGAGAAGAGAGAGCAACCGGAAGAGTGGGTGGAGGGAAGGGAGGAGATCAAGAAGCCCAAGATATAGTAGAAGCCGGGTTGGGGAAACTTCTGACGAACAAACCAGACGAACAAACTTTTGACAATGGCCACAGATGAACATCGTTATCTGAGAACGAAACCACTTACAATAAGCACATGTTTGGAAGCCATATCCATTAGCAACTTGAACAAATGGCTGCCTGGCTTCATTTAAAAGCGAGCAGTTACACGAGTTGGTGTTACTGCGCAGGTTAGCTCGGCATGCAAACCGCCCACACGGGTTCATACTGGGCTGCAGGTCGCCGTCACCCTTGAAGCTCCTGTGGCCGCACGGGTCCTTGGGAACTGGAGGGTGGCACAGACGAGAACAGGAGAAATAGTAAGGGGTGCAAATGCAGCTCCATTGAAAAAGATTGCAGACAGGAATGAGCAAGGTTAACCAAGAGACAGGTGTAAGATTGGGAAAACGTAATTTGGAAATTGACCATCTTGCGGACGTGGACAGCACTGGCTCACACTGTGTTCGCTCTGTTGACCATTTCTCTACTCCACCCTACTCAGTGACTGTAATTTACAGCTTGTTCTGTGCCATTCACTTTGGACCAATGGTGATTGACCCGAAGGGAAGAGGAGATTGAGATACGGAGAGAACGATGAAAAGGTTGCCTCACTCTTGACAATGGGGTAGATGCCAGGCAGCACGTTGATGCCACACATGCCATCACCTCCCTGAATGTCCATACGCATGTGGCCTCTGTCGCCCCACTCCACTCCCCACGAGTTGCGGATAATCCAAAATGGAGGCGCAATGCGATTTTGGCTGCCGTCATTTCTCAAGACGAAGTAGCCAACAACGAGTACAGCGTGGTTCAGTCTGCCGGTGTAGCAGCCAGGGTCCTGGTACTTGAAGGTCTGAAGAGAAAGGGGGACACCACGACAACAATGGGAGCGGGTGTTGGGAAAATGTAGGTAACAGAATCTTCTAACAATATATGCACATCATACAGGGTCAATGCAGGCAGCACCCACCCCGTCGTATTGCGCGAACTCTCGAGCAGAAGCCTCTATGTGAACCACCACTGGCTGTCGTCGAACTGCCAGCATGAGCCCCACAAACCCCTTGAACCGGGTGCGCTCAAATGCGTGAACAGGGTACTTCTTATTCTGAATGTTGACAACTCAACAGAACACAACATAAACATGTTGGAAGGAAGAGAAATAAGCACAGTAAGAGACCTCAACAGAAAGCAATCAACATTTGGTTGCTGAAATTGTATTCAACAAGTTAGGACTAACCTGGTTTAACCTAGAAAATTTTAGGAAGCAGTACAACAATAAGGTGCATAATAGGACGGTTACAACATACATACTATACTCATGTAACCTGAATTGTGAATGTGTTAGGGAATCTCAAAGAATGGTCCTGAGCTGGAAAAATGAGTTAGAGTAAAACATATTGCAGACGTATTGCGAATGTGATTCGGGTACACTCAGCTTTCACTCACATTTTTACTATACATCCATCACACTTCTACCCTAACAGAAATTTCAGGCTGGAGTGTGAAAGCTTTATCTCCTCAGCTCACGAATTTCTAAATTACTGGAGCATTTGGGCAATACTTGATGAACGATTGTTTCATGACTGCTACGACCGACTCTAGGACTCAAAGGAGAGTCTCCATGACACCAGTTGTAGTACAGTTTCATTTCTCTCAAAATCGGGCACACTACTGAAAACTTCCCAATGCACTCATGAACATCTACCTCACTACTCACAGGAGCGCCAGCCTTTGTGATTCCGCCATTGGGCAGAATGAGAAGCGTTTCCAATGCCTCGGTGGGGGAGCCCCCCGTGCTGCACTTGTCAGCCTCGGAGGTGAGCCCCATGGCTGCAAAGAGTGACTCCACTGACAGCTGCGGCGCCTCCCGATTCGTTGCAATGCCGTATGCCGCTTCCACGCTCGCCACCAGCGCAAACGCCCAACAAGCATCTGGGTATGTGAAGAACAGTTTCGTGATTAAACAAAGTGGATCCAAAGAGTGTGGCATCGAAGTGGTGAATAGCCAGAGTGGATCCTAAGCACGTATTGAGCTGAGTATTGTGAGATGGCCGGCTGAAACATGTGGTTAGCAGCAGCAGCAGGCGGAGAATAAGCAGATTGTAGCAACCATCCATGGCACACCAGCCAAGATATTGGCTCCAACATGCTTCGCCATTCATTCCACTCACTGCAGTCTTTCTGGTCCTTGACGGGCCAACCGAGGAAGGGCACGGAGTCCCAGGAGTGGAAGTCGCTGATGACCCACGAGTCCTGCTTGCCGGGCGCCACTCGGTAGTCCGCACTCACGTAGCGCGGGAAGGGGCTGGCCCACTCTGGCATGTACGTGTTCGTTAATAGCTGCAAGCCATAAGCTGGGATGCTCACAGGAATAAGATGTGAAGAAGACAAGTTGCATGATGAGGGAATGAATGGGATATGAACAAGAAAAGTTGTATTGTAACAAGGGCAGAAATATAAGTACAATCAAGCCTCACACTTTCGTGTGCTGCATCTCTTGTTTCATTATATTTGCACATTATGTGGTTAGGTGATTTGCCACTACATCCATCTAACAGGCACTCCGTTCCACCCTGCTCCATGTACTCAGTGCGGATGCACCTGCATTGATACCCCCTTCGGTTTGGACTGTCCATGAATACAATCAAGTCTATGTTCCCACACTTACAAATTTGCACCTCATGAGGCTGTTGGTTGATTGTCACTTCACATCCTTGTAACATGCACTTCGTTGCACCCTGCCTGCCCCATGTATTTAGTGCCAACGCAGTTGTATTGATACCCCCTTCAGGTAACTGTATTGCATACCGAAAACGTTGCTTAGACCAGACTCCGCTTTTTGTTTTTTTTGCTTTCCAGTTTTCTTTTCCAGATATGTCATTCCGTAAACATGATCTTGGGATGATGGTTGGTGTACTGCCATTTCTATATGATAAAAACCTCCACAGGGGCCAAAAAAAAAGACAAGATACATCGACATGAAAGAGTGAAGTGAAGGATGCAGGTTGAAAGTTCAACAAACGAGAGGACCAATATCGGTACAGAACATACAGATTATTATAACAGTCAGTCAATTACAATACGTGCCTCCTTTGGCCTCCTTCGTCAGTCGTGACTGGGCTGCTTGCGAGTGTTCCAGCACAAGCATGGGAAACGATTTCTCACATGGAGTAATTGTAACTGGCCGAGGAGGAGAAGGAAGGCCTGGGAAAGGACAAAGCAATTGGAGCAAAGTAAGAGGTTCTGTGTTTAAGACCCAACCATTAACCCATTGCAAGTTCAACTGGTTTCAAAATGCTCGCCAAAAGGGCCTTACTCAACGAGTCAGGTCTGAGTACAAAAACAACTTTGTCGAGCTTTACTCGACTACTCTAGACTCGATCGAGTCAGCATAAAAGCGAGTCGAGTAAAACTCAACTCACGTAACGTGTTGTGCTCATGTCTATGCTTACCTGTGTCCACTGTAGATTCAAGAATGACGTGTTTCTGAAACGGCTTCACAGTGGTGGAGGCCACGAAGCCAAAGAAGAAGGCGTGCTGATCAACCCCACCCTGCAGCACCTCGCACAGCGCCAGCCTCCTCTCCAACACCGCCTCCTGCGGCTTCTCCTTCGAGTCAGCCAGGAAGACCTGGATGGTGCCGGGATCCCCCGGCTCATAGTCCACCCATGCCGTGTATGCCTTCTTGCTGCTCAGAGGGAATGGTGACGGCACAGCGGCTAGCGACTTATCCTCGCCTCGAATGTTCAGCCCCACATGCTGGCTGCTCATGTCGCCGTGCTGCTTGTCCTGCCGACTGTCAAACTCAACTGCCACACTCCGCTTGTCCATTTCACCATACCCCACACCAGTGCCTCTCCCCACCCGGTCGGTTGCCGAGACAACAAAGGCAAAGCCGTTGAAGCCCACGCGGCCGGATTGAGGCGAGAGGGAGAAGGTGAAGTTGGCATGGAAGGCGAGCTGCAGCCCACACCCCGACAGCCCCTGCCCTGCCTCGAACACAAACAGGGTCACCGGAGCTGTGGTGAAGTCCCCCCTCGTCTCCCGCTGCGTCCCCCTGGTGAGCACAGATGCTGGCGGGAGAATTGGCTGGCTGTTTGAGAAATTCCTGTTCTGGCCTGCACACATGTTAAGAGACCGATGGACAGGAGTGGGATATGGAGGCATGACAGGGTGAGATGAGGTGCAAGGCTTACAAATTCAAGGAAGGTGATTCTATGAACCTGCAGTGACGTTTCTTCGATTTGAAGTGGGCCCCTTACCTTGAGCAAGACAGCCAATGTCTCCAGATCGCACGAATCCAGCATCACACAGACATGCGGGTGCCAAGCTAGGCCCCTGTGGATAGCACACTCCATGTCCACCACACGCAGCAGCACCACCAGCTGCAGAGGAGACGCCACAGAATGCATTGCATGCTGCCTCCTGCCGCTGCCGCACCAAGGCACAGCCCAGTGGCTGCGTGAAGCAGTTGGCATCAAAAGTAAGACGCTGGCATGCCCCGTCGGAGGGCCCGAGAGGAAGTTGCTGGAGAGATCCAGGGTGCGCACAGCAAGAGGCTTCAGTGCGCGGCCTGTGAGGTAGTTGTGAGAGAGGTCGCTGCAGAGGGGAGGGGCAAGTGCCGGGAGAAGGACAGTTGGGATCGCGTCAATTGTTGAGTAGAGTGTACAGATGAGGGAGAAGACGAGGATGCACATGAATGAGAGGAGGTGTCAGGAATCAACAAGAAGCAGGGCAGAAGGGGAAGCAGAGACGGACGAGGAGTATGCGGAGATAACTACTACAACGGGAGCGAGACTACGGGCTAGGCACGGGTGCTCGTGTGATCTCTGCGTTCGTTGGTCCTTAGTCGTTCTCCTAGTGCATACACTGCTTGCTAGTTCACGGTGCAAAATGGCAAGAGTTTCACTAGAGAAAATTGACAACAATGATACAAAGAAGTTGGCAAGGCAAGACTACATCAGAGCTAGCATGCAAGCAGGTCGACTGCCAGCGCAGCACGGTCGACCGCGCGCCAGCACAACTTGGTCGACCGCGCTCCAGCAGCGCAGAGTCGCGGCTTGCCAACACTGCAGGTCGACGGCGTGCCAACGTCGCAGGTTGACGGCGCGCCAACGTTGCTCCCGCAGGACAGCAGCGCACCTACTTCGCAGGTGCTCGCAGACGATTGGCGTGCAATGCCTTGACACCTGCACAACGCACACACCATATCAACTTCGTGCTGACGACTGCTTCTGATGCACCACGTCGACCTCGGGATACCATCACCGAGGTCGTCCTCGCCAAAACCACCTGGGCGACCATCGCAAGCCTTCGCAGCACCTCGTCACCCAGGTAACCTGGTCGACCGGGCAACCAGGTCGACCAGAGGCTCCAGTGCATGCCCGTCGACCACCCAGGTCGACGACCACTTCCGGTCGACCTCCCAGGTCGACCACTGCCTCTGGTACGTGCCGGTCGACCTCCCAAGTCGACGACCACCTCCAGTCGACCTCCCCAGGTCGACCACTATCCCCTGGTCGACCAGCTCCAAGTCGACGTCACTCCTGGTCGACCAGAAGGGCTGGTCGACGTCCCAGGTCGACCAGAAGGGCTGGTCGACGTCCCAGGTCGACCAGAAGGGCTGGTCGACTTCCCAGGTCGACCAGCCGAAGTTGGCGCCCTCCCGAAGTCGGCGCCCATGCAGTGGCTCCCCGTGCAGGTCGACCAACCTCGTCGACCAACTCGCCCACTGCTGCAGGTCGGCTGCACCCTACACCCGACCATGAAGTCTGCTCAGGGTGGACAACAAGTCGGCCATCACAGTCGCCGAGGGCATGGGGTTGACGGGCAACCTCAAGCACATGGAGCGGCGACAGGCCTGGCTGCAGCACATGGTGAAGCGGGGGAAGTTTGCGCTGCAGTACATCCCGACCGCTGAGCAGCCGGCCGACTTCCTGACGAAGGCGCTGCACTACCCGGCCTTCAACCGGTGCTCCGTCGCCATCGGCCAAGTGCGTCTGGCCGACGTGGGCGACGGCGACGACGACGTGCAGCAGTAGGTGCCATGCCCTCCTGCATGGCTGGTGCGGTGAACGACGTGCTGTGTGTTGGGTGCACGTCGACGAGCTTGTCTCCGAGAAGTACTGTCGTGTGGGCTGGGGGCCCAAGCGTGAACGCGGCAGGGGAGTGTCAACGGGAGTTGTATGTTGGCCCCGTCCTCGCTTGGGCAGGACCGTCGGCTTCCCAGCATCCAGCTGCTGGAACTCTGCGAGGAGGAAGCGAAGTCGGCGTCCCTCCTTGCCGGCTTCAACGGCCGCCACGTACTCCGACTCGGTCGACGACAGCGTCGCGCACTTGATGCGCTGGCTCGACCAGGAGACTGCGGCCCCTCCGTAGACGAACACGTAGCCACCCGTGCTCGTCCTGTTCTGCTTGTCACCGGCGTCGTCGGCGTCCACGTAGCCGACCAGCTCCAGCGACTCAGGTCCACCGCCAAACTCCAAGGCGGTGTCACGCGTGTTGGCGAGGTAGGCGAGGCAGCGGTCGACCTCGCGCCAGTGCTGGTCGCTCCTCACCGTGAGGCCGCTCCCCAGCTTGCTGCAGGCGAAGGCGATGTCCGGCCTTGTCGTCGTCGCCGCGAACTGCAGCGAGCCGACCTTCTGCCGGTACTCCTCCTCCTGTCGCTCCTGTGCCTCCTCGTCGTCGAAGGTGAGCTCGGCGTAGGCGTCGACCGAGACCGGCGTCTTCGGAGTCCGGCCGCCCTGCTCCTCGTCGATGAAGCGCCTACGCAGCTTGTCGGCGTAACCCTGCTGATGCAGCCACAGCTTCCCCGCCGACCTGTCGCGGACGATCTCCAGCCCGAGGTACTTCTGCACCGGCGAGATCTCGCGCAGCTCGAAGGCGGCCTCCAGCAGCTCCTTCAGCTCCCTCAACATCGCGGTGCTGCTGCTTGCGGCGAGCAGGTCGTCGACGTAGACCAGCACCCAGCAGGTCACCTCGTCCTTGCCGACCTTGAAGTAGAGGGCCTCGTCGACCTGGCTCTTCTTCCAGCCAGCGCCGACCAGCACGTCGTTGAGTGCCAAGTACCACAACAGCGGCGACTGCTTCAGCCCGTAGAGGCTCTTCAGCAGCTTACACACCCGGCCGGTCCCGTCGTTGAAGTAGTCCGGCTGGTACATGTAGAGCACCCGGTCGAGCTTGCTCTGCAGGAAGGCGTTCTTCATGTCGAGCTGCATCAGGTTCAGGTCGAGGACGGCGACGATGCTGAGGAAGATCCTCAGCGTGACGTAGCTGCTCACCGGCGCGTACGTCTCGTCGTAGTCGGCGCCATACACCTGGGTGAAGCCCTTCACGACCAGCCTCGCTTTCTCGCGCTCGACGGTGTCGTCGATGTGGTACTTCGTCGTCAGCACCCACCGGTTCTTCATCACGTTCACTCCCGGCGGGCGTTCGACCAGCTCCCACGTGCCGTTGCTGATGAGGCTGCGGATCTCCTCCTCCATGGCGGCCTTCACCGCCGGGCCCTTCCAGCTCGCCAACGCCTCCTTCACCGTCATGGTCGAGATGTCCCAGCGGTGCTCGGGGTCGGCCAGCATGTCGGGGTCGAGCTCCGGAAACTCTTCGTCCTCATCAGCGTCGTCGTACAGCAGGTCGTCGTCGTCCTCCACGTCGTACACCGTGGTGAAGGCAGCAGGGATGAAGAAGTCGGGCGGCCGCCGAAGTCGACCAGACTTCCGGGGTTCAGGCGGAACCCCCGCCACGTCACGGTCGGTGGACTGGTCGACCACTCCCTGGTCGGCCAGCTCCTCGTCGCCCAACTGCTCCCCTTCATCTTCACTGCCGTCCTCGTCGTCCTGCTGCACCTCGGTCGGCGTCCCAACCGACTTCTCCCCTGCGGTCAGCTCCCCTGCCGACTGCCAGGTCGCCAACTGTTCTTTGGTCGACCTCGTCGCTGTCTGCTACCATGTCGGCGGCGTCTGCTCAGCCTGCTGCTTCCCCGCCTGCCCCCCGGTCGACTTCACGTCCAGGCCGACCTTCTGGGCGTCACGTCGGCCACCGGCGATGTCATTGGTCGGCGCCACAGGCGACGCCCCACTGCTCCCCTCCCCTCATCACCGGAGGCCGACACCGGAGTCAGCCCACGCAGGTCGGCGACGAGGGGAGGGGGGGGGGGAAGGAGACAGGACGACCTCGTCATCCTCAGCAGCAGGCTCACCGACCTCGGCGAGCAGAGGCAGCGTCGCCTTGGAGATGTCGGTGGGCGAGGTGGTCGGCGTCCGTCCCGACACCGGCCCGTGCGCCGACTTCCACTCTCCCAGCGACATGTCCTCGTAGAACACCACGTCCGACGTGGTGACCACCCGGTTGTCGGCAATGTCGAGAAGCTCCCAGCCCTTGCTCGCCTCCGACACACCGAGGTGAAGGCCCCACTTGGCCTTCGGCTTCAGCTTCCCACCACGCTGCTGCTCGGGGACGAGGAACTGCGCCATGCAGCCCCACACGCGCGCCAGCGACAAGTCGGGCTTCTTCCCGGTCAGCAGCTGGTACGGCGTTGTCCCCGGCGTAGCCGACCGCTCCAGGCAGTTGCGGACCCAGACGGCCTGCCGCAGAGCGAGGTGCCACCAGTGGTGCTGCACGCCCATGTGCAGCAGCATCGTCCGCACCGACTCCACCACCGTCCGCATCTCCCGCTCCGCCATGCCGTTCTGCTGCGGGGTGTAGGGGCAGGTCAGGTCGTGGACGATCCCCTTTCCGTCCACGAAGGCAGTGAACTCCCGGCCGAGGAACTCCCCTCCCCTGTCCGAGCGCAGCTGCAACACCGACTTCTTCGTCTGCCGCTCCACCAGCACCAGCCGTTTTTGGAACTCCAGCAGCACGTCCGACTTCTTGGCGACCGGCCTCACCCACACGTAGCGGGACTTACGGTCCTTCAACAGCAAGAAGTACAGGCTGCCATCCTTGGCAGCCACCCGGAATGGCCCGCACAAGTCGATGTGGACGACGGCTAGCACGTCGGCGGCGTCGGAGCCTTGGTCGGGGAAGGTGTGCCGCGCCAGCTTCCCGCCGACGCACGAGACACACGGTGAGTCGGCGCCCGTCGCCGACTTGAGGTCCAGCCCAATGGCGACCTCGTTCTTCGCCGAGCTCCGGATGGTGTCCATGCCGACGTGCGCAAGCCGAGCGTGCATCCTGTCCGGCGTCGACTTCGTCTTGGAGACGATCGCCCGCAGGGCCACAACCTCCGGCGTGGGCGACGGCGACCTCGTTGAGCAGGGACGCAGGTCGGTGCAGAGGACTCGCCCGGAGTACGTCGCCCGACCAAGCACCTCTCCTGCTGCCGAGACGAGCAGCACCCCGTCGCCGTCCTCCCGAAACTTCACGCCATGCTCCTTCAGCTGGCCGGACGACAACAGGTTGGCCCGCACACCCGGGACGTACAGCACGTCGGGGATGAGAACCTGCTTCCCGGCCTCGCCTTGCAAGGCGACCGTGCCCCGGCCCTGGACGTCTTGCAGCGCCCCATTGAAGCCACGCACGTGCTTCAAGTCGCCGCTCGGCCCCAGGTCGACGAAGGCGTCCTTTGTCCCCATCAGGTGGTGTGAGCAGCCGCTGTCCAGCAGGACGACCGCCGGGTTCGCCTGCACGACTGCCGCCACTGCCTGGAAGTCCTCGCCGGCCTCCGGCGCCAGCGAGACGGTCGGCTCCACGACCCCGACCAGCGAGCACGACGCCGACTTGTCGTTGCTCCCCTTGCCGCTAGCAGAGGAGTCGGCGTCCTTCGCCGTGGTCGACGTGGTCGACTGCTTCTCCTTGCGCGGCTTCTCCTTTCCTCCACGACGTGGACGACGACTTCCAGATCTCCCACGGCCTCCCTTGTCGTCGTCGTCGTCGGAGTCACTGCGGTCGGGGCACTCAAAGGAGAGATGGTCGGGGCTGTGACAGATCCAGCACTCCCGACGTCGACCTCCTCCTCCTTTCTTGTCGACCTCCTTGGTTGACTTCGAGCCACTGCTACCACTGCCGCCGGACTGTCCGCGCTGCCCCGGTCGACCGCCTTGCTTCACCGGGGCGACGAAGTTCGCCTGCGCCAGCAGCTCCTGGGACCGCTCTGCCTCCTGCATTGCCTCGTCTTGCAGGATGTACGAGGTTAGGTTGTCCTCGTTGAGCGTCGCCCTCGTGCTCGGTGCCATGGACAGCCGCTTCAACAGGTTGTAGCTGCTCCGGAGTCCCTGCATGACATGGGTGATGTACGACGCCGTCGAATACTCCGCACCGGCCATCCTGATGGTGGCGAGAATTCGCCGGGCCCGGTTGCAGTAGTCGGTCGCCGTCTCCTCGTCGCCCATGCGCAGGTGCGTCAGCTGCCCTTCCAGCTGGGCGATAAACAGGTCGTCGGTGACCTGGTACGTCGACTCGATGAAGTGCCACGCCTGGTGGCCGGCGTCGAGGTACTCCCTGCACCACTTCAGGGCGATCTGCACGCCCGGCGTGCAGCACCGCGAGATGACCGTGAAGGTCAACAGCTGCACGGCGCGGAACTCAGCTCGCAAGTCGGGGTCGTCCGGCGTCTCCACGGTGCCTCGAGCGAAGCTGATCAGCCCGGCCATCTCCAGCTGGGGCTCGATGGCCTCCTTCCAGGTGAGGATGTCTGGTCGACCGACCAGCGGGGGAGTCACCGAGATCCTGTCCGGCGTGAACTTGTAGTAGCCGTAGCTCGGTGCAATTCCGCCCGCCGTCACCTGGGACGCCGCCATCGGCATCAACCCGCTTCGTCGACCTCCGACGTCGCCCTGCGAGGTGCCTGCAGCCGCAGTCGACCGCATCCCTCGTGCCTGAACGCCGCCGACTTCATCGGCGTGAATCACACCACGCAGCCTCGACGACGTGCCTCCCGCACTGCTGCCGACTTGGCCACCACCGGCGTTGACGCCCATGTCGACGCCGCCCTGGGTGTTCGCCGGTCGAGGAGACGCAGGCCGAGAAGGGTGCTCCGTCGCCCACAGGGAACGGATGCCAGCCTCGACGACCGCCCAAGGCAGGTCGCCATACTCGTTGGCCTCGTGCTTCCTCCTCGCGTTTTCCAGCCGTGCCTCCAGGGTGTCCACCACCCCCGTGTCACCTAAGGCTCCTACCATGGTGACTACCACACAGCTGCCGGCCTACGAACAACTTAGGTAAGTGACCTCTACGTCGACCTGACTGAAAGGTAAGTCGGGTGCCGTCCACGCTCACCGCACCATGCGGAGATAACTACTACAACGGGAGCGAGACTACGGGCTAGGCACGGGTGCTCGTGTGATCTCTGCGTTCGTTGGTCCTTAGTCGTTCTCCTAGTGCATACACTGCTTGCTAGTTCACGGGGCAAATTGGCAAGAGTTTCACTAGAGAAAATTGACAACAATGATACAAAGAAGTTGGCAAGGCAAGACTACATCAGAGCTAGCATGCAAGCAGGTCGACTGCCAGCGCAGCACGGTCGACCGCGCGCCAGCACAACTTGGTCGACCGCGCTCCAGCAGCGCAGAGTCGCGGCTTGCCAACACTGCAGGTCGACGGCGTGCCAACGTCGCAGGTTGACGGCGCGCCAACGTTGCTCCCGCAGGACAGCAGCGCACCTACTTCGCAGGTGCTCGCAGACGATTGGCGTGCAGTGCCTCGTCACCTGCACAACGCACACACCATATCAACTTCGTGCTGACGACTGCTTCTGATGCACCACGTCGACCTCGGGATACCATCACCGAGGTCGTCCTCGCCAAAACCACCTGGGCGACCATCGCAAGCCTTCGCAGCACCTCGTCACCCAGGTAACCTGGTCGACCGGGCAACCAGGTCGACCAGAGGCTCCAGTGCATGCCCGTCGACCACCCAGGTCGACGACCACTTCCGGTCGACCTCCCAGGTCGACCACTGCCTCTGGTACGTGCCGGTCGACCTCCCAAGTCGACGACCACCTCCAGTCGACCTCCCCAGGTCGACCACTATCCCCTGGTCGACCAGCTCCAAGTCGACGTCACCCTTGGTCGACCAGAAGGGCTGGTCGACGTCCCAGGTCGACCAGAAGGGCTGGTCGACGTCCCAGGTCGACCAGAAGGGCTGGTCGACGTCCCAGGTCGACCAGAAGGGCTGGTCGACGTCCCAGGTCGACCAGAAGGGCTGGTCGACGTCCCAGGTCGACCAGCCGAAGTTGGCGCCCTCCCGAAGTCGGCGCCCATGCAGTGGCTCCCCGTGCAGGTCGACCAACCTCGTCGACCAACTCGCCCACTGCTGCAGGTCGGCTGCACCCTACACCCGACCATGAAGTCGGCTCCGCCCAAGCGAGGACGGGGCCAACATACAACTCCCGTTGACAGAGTATGCAGAAGAGGGAGAGGAAGAAGAGGCCTACTCGGATAGTGTTGTGACACGAGGAAAGTAGGAGGTGAAGAGAGGATGAGGAAGAAACCTGAGAGATGAGAAGGCAGGTCTACAGGGCACTGGCAAGGCAACCACGGGCATTCATGTGGTGTCACATTGACCTGATCAGGAATGTTTTCCTGGTTGGTACTGGGTGGCGTTCACTGTTCCTTGACCTCACTCTAAACTTTGAGGAATTTTATTGGTCGTACAAGTACGTGAGCTGCAAGAGCTGGGTGAGAGTGCTTGGTATGCTCCCATACAGCTGGTTGAAGGAGAGAGACCTAGTGGCAATGTTGGTGAGACGGAAGGATGTTAGAGGAACAACGGGAAGGATACAATACAACTGGAGAATCAGGGCGGTCGGAGTACCAGGTTGGCTGAGTGGGCGGTTTATAAAATTGAACGGCTGAGAGGATACCAATTGTGGCTTGAGGCTTGATGGTGACACAAAAGAATTGTGCAAGGTCCAAATGCTAGATTCACATGCTAGATTTGCATACTACATTCACTAGTTTGATTCATGAGCTAGGTTCGTGTTGGGCCACAGTTTGAGACAAGACATGAGCGAAAATTCGGGTTGAACGTGTTCGGTTCGAAAGGCCTTTTTTTACGCGCCGCCTCGAACCTCGAAGGCGGTTTCGGTTTCGGCCTTCCGCTCACGCGGGCGGAAGCCAACCAAGGGCTTGTGCCGCCCGCCACGGCCGTCGCGCTGATGGGCAACTGGGGCGCGGTGCTCATTCTCGTCATGCTCTTCATGTGAGTCGATGATGGGCGCAATTTACGCTCATCGCATTTTGCATTTTGCTCTAATTTCTTTTCCGTTGCACTTCGCTTTGCCCTTTGGCACAATATAAGAAATTTCCATGCTGCGTTTCGCTTCACCGCAAGCGAAGTTTCTCACAAATCGGATTCATATATGTGCGTACGCAGGGCCGTGACTTCCGCTGGGTCTGCTGAGCTTGTTGCCGTTTCAACTCTGGTGACGTACGATATCTACCGTACGTACATCAACCCCAAGGCGAACGGCAAGCAGATCCTGCTGTGCTCCCGAATCATGGTGCTCGCGTTCGGACTCTTTATGGGCGTCCTTGCTATTGCGCTCAACCAGGCGGGAGTGTCCCTTGGCTGGATGTACCTCGTGATGGGTGTGCTTATCGGAAGCGCCGTCATTCCTATCGCTAACGTGATTCTGTGGAGGAAGGCCAACGGTTTTGGCGCTATTGCTGGCTGCCTCATCGGCATGGTTGCGGGTATGTTCCAAGAAAAACTCACCTTCAAACACTATTCATACAGGCACAGATTAGCGTTACAGATGCATACTATTTTTTTTTCCCTTTTTGTGCATCAGACATCCTGCTTTGGTGAAACCAAGTTCCATGAACTCTATCCTCTGTTCCCCTCAACGCCAACGCAGACAATTCCACCACATGTGCTTATGGTCCATAATTCATACTAATTTTTTCTTTCCCTTTGACCCATGTCCAATAAATCCAGGCATCACCTCGTGGCTGGTGGTGGCCAAGGTGCAGTATGGAGTGGTGGACCTAGACAGCACCGGAGCCAACTCCTCCACACTCACTGGAAACCTCGTCTCCATCATCACTGGTGGCGCCGTGCATGCCATTTGCAGGTACACCTTCCCCTCCCCCCTTGCCTTTAAGACACACTGAATTTGCACAATGATGTGTGCTTGCCTGATGAATCACCATATCAGTGCTCTCTCAAACCCCCTTGACAGATGTCTCAAACTCATCCTCCTTACAAGTACCCAAATCGTCCCAAATCGTACCCAACGCACTGAAAACTGCCACCCTTTCTTACACCCAACCTCCCTTCCCTTCCCTTCCCTTCCCTCCCCCCTCCCTCCACCCTCCCACGCCAGCTTCATCAAGCCTGATGGGTTATAGCCTACAGAGGGTTTTAGGAGAAGAATGAACAAAACAGAAGTTATGGTTGTGTAGGCTAGTGTTCGCTCATTTGTTTGTGATGCCCACACATGATTTTTGGTCATCCTTACAATTTCTTGTTATAATCCTAAACTGAAAACGCCTTGGAATTTCACCCCAATGTGCCCTATAACCGTGTAACAGTGAGCATAGATGAGCGCAGGTTCAGTTCGGACTCGACTCGCTCGAACCTCACTATGTTCAAATTTTACACTCAAACCTTGAAACTGACATCCTTACAACCGTTTGACACAGACAAACCGAAACTCGTTCGGGTATCCTTATACCTAGATGTTCTACAGCATTCAAACTTTTCTCTTGTCAACTATGTTAGAACTCAAGAATATGATTGAGTAATGAGCCAAGAGGCTCTTTAATTCAAGATTGCAAGAAGAGAAGAGTGTAAGAGGAGCTAACCTTATTGGCCACTAAGTTGGCCAATTGGTGAGGTGCCTTGTAGACCAAGTAACCACAAAATGTAGGTTGGTTGGGATTTGTTGGGCTAAGGACCAAAGGTTGGCAAGTGCCAACCAAGGACCAAGGCCCAAATCCAATCTTGACCAACCACAAAGTGTGGTTGAAGAGTACACCCAATCCCCCAATAACATAAATGACTAGACCTATTCTAGCTTATGGTTTGGTCAGAGTGGCACACTAGTCTCGAACAGGGATCCTTATGGCCGAGCTGAAAGAAATCAGTTCGACACAAACTGCGCACGGTTTTTCGGCCATACAAGAGAATGATTCGGCATGTAACTTGGAACTCTCTTAAATGAAACGAGAGAACAAACCAAATGATGACCAGAGCCGCTCAGGTTCCGGTCAAAGCACGTTCGATGTGCTGAACCAGTTTATTGCAATGCACGACATTCTCAGCTAGAACAACCAACCGGTGTGTGTCAGACCATGAACCGGTTTGCCTTGAACGAAAAGGCGAATAAAGGGTTTAAGAATTTAGCTCATCTCTAGCGTATAACAGGGTAAAAAAAGCAGGCGAATCAGAAAGGAAGCACAGCAGAGTATATAGATCATGGAAACAAATATCTAATATGAAAAAAAAAGAAAGTGGTTGGCAAATGAAGGAGAGGGTAGAGCAGGGACTAGCTTACAAGATTACTAGTTTTGTCATGTTACCAATCTCAGCAGGAATGGAGCTAGTAAGCTCATTGTTAGGGAGACTCCTGCATGGAACAACAAGGAGTGGAATTGGAAGAGAGACAAACTAAGAGCAGGAATTATTAAAAATAAAAGGTCATGCAGGTCACCAAATAGTTCAAGCCAAGCCAGAAAGTAATACAAGGTTCGTACAGTACTCATGAGCGAATCCCCCAGCCCAGTTTGGGCCATGGCGGTTCGTCATGTGTCCACCTGGACCTTCTTTGTCTCGGTTGGCCAGCCCGAGCCCGGCCCATTCGAACTGGCCCAGCGCACTGTGTTGATGTCCTTGCTGTGAAGCAAGCCAGATCGTCATGAGGCACGGCTATAATGAAGAGGCATGTGCAATTTGCGATTTGAGCGAATTGGCTAACCCACACGAAAATGCTGGGTTCGTCCATGTCGGGTCGGGGGTCGGCGGATGTGGAGGCGGGTTATAGGTTGCTGGCACGGCAACCGCAGGCATACGTGTGGTGTTGAATGTGGTCATGCATGAATGTTTGCTTCGTATCCCCATGTCTCAAAATCAGCCACCTTCACTCCAATCAGCATACGTTAGAATCAACAACGCCAAAAAACCTAGGGGTGCTGGCGCAGCAACATAGCCATCCCTGCAGTGCTGCAACTATTGGGTTTGACAAAGAGCTTTAGTGCACGCTTGGAACGCCCAAAATCCAATCGCATCCACGCATTTCAAATGGAGAAAATTGAAGGACCTATTTCCAGCATGGTGCTGGGTAGTGTTTCGTTCAATGTCCATTAACCACACCTCTAAACTTGCTCCTTACTCCGTCATGATTGTTCTTGATCATTATGAATAAGAGTATGCATGGCATATAGCGAGGTAAAAAGTGCAGGAGGATTCATGGCACGACAGGAGCTCCTGTAGCTCGCCGACATCATTGCTTTGGAAGTGCAATTAGCGTGCATTTGTGATTTATCGCATACGTACGAAGATAGACAACCATGCCAAGCGAAAGAAAGTGAGTCGTACAAGAATGAGTGGGTCGTACAAGAATGTGAGCTGTGTGAGCTGGGTGAGAGTGCTTGGTATGCTCCCATACAGCTGGTTGAAGGCGAGCGACCTGGTGGCCATGGTGGAGTGATGGAAGAATGTTAGAGGAGTGACGGAAAGGATTCAACTGGAGATTGAGGATGGATGAAGCACCAGGTTGGTTGGGTGAGTGAGCGGTTTTCAAGATTGAATGGCTGAGAGGACAGGAAACGTGGCTTGAGGCTTGATGGTGATATGTAAGTGCCCATGCTAGATTTGTATACAAAAGTCTTTTGTTTGGTTCATATGCTAGACTCGCGTTAGGCAGGCTTGGGACAAACCGGCCCAGTTCGACTTTCAGCAAGGCACCAAAAAGCCTAATTTTGACTGTTCGGCCCAACTTGGACGGAACCAAGTTTGTTCGTCTGCTCCTGCCTGCCTACAGAGGGTTAGAGGAGAGGATTGGGAGCGAATACCGCACAAAATCAGAAGCGATGGTTGGTTTCGGCTAGTGTTGGCTTAGTTGAATGTGATGCCCATATATGCTACTATTTCCGGTCATTCTTACAGTTTGTTGTTATTATCGTAAGCTGAACACGGCCTAGGTTCAGTCGTGATTTCACCCCAACCTGATCTATAACCTTGTATTGATGAGCAAAGATGAGCATAGGTTCAGCTTGGACTCGACTCGCTTGTAACTTGCTATGTTGAACATCTACCTGCAAACCTTGAAACTCTGGCATGCCTACAAACAACCGTTCAATCCGAACCAAACCTCTTAACAACAGTTTGACCCAGTTCAAACCGAAACCCGTTCGAGTAACCTTCTATCTTGATGTTTTACGAAATTCAAACTGGCTCCCTTGTCACCTGCTACTTCCTAATAGGAGATATGAGCAAGAATCGAACCAGAACTGGCTCTGGTTTTGCTGACTCGAAGCTGAACCAATTTGGATTCAACCGCCATTTGAGCATGCAGCTTCTTGATCCAATCCTTATGGTTCAACTAGTAGGATCACCCGAATGGTTCGATTTGAGTGGGCAAGAACCGAGCAGGCTCTGGATCCTTTGTTGCTGATGTCTACTCAGAAGAGACGAACGGCACATTTGTGATAACGGAAAGGAGAACCTTAACCAAAGTAGAGATTCTCATAAATCTCCTTGCATTTGATTTGGTCAGAGTGGCACACATGTCAGTTTGGCTCTGATGGCCGGGCTGAACAATATCAGTTCGATACAATCTGCGCGCGGTGCTGGTTCAGTTCGGCCATACAGAAGGAATGGTTTCACACAAAGTTCAACTCCAAATATGCCCTGAAACTCCATAAAAATCCACGGGTGGACCAGAGCCGCTCGGGTTCCAGTCAAAGCGCTGCCTGTTCGATGTGCTGAAACAGTTTGATGCTATGCATGGCATTCACAGCTGGAACATTGACCAGTTGGAGTCGAAGCCGGACCCGGTAAGCCTCGATCCAAAAGGCGAAAAGAAGGACCTGGTTTGGCTTTCTGCTCCCCGGGGTCTATACAGACAGGAAGAAACAAGCAGGAGAATCAGAAAGTGGAACAACTTGGTATTCAAGGGGAAAGAAGAGTAGGGACGGGCTTACAGGAATACAAGTTTTGTCATGTTACCAATTTCAGCAGGAATGGAGCCAGTGAGCTCATTGTCACGAAGACTCCTGCATGAAGAATGCAATTGCAAAAGAAAATAAAACACGAAGGTTAGAGAAAATTCATGTCGATCACTAAATAGTGCGGGACACAAAGGAATTCGTGCAGACTAGTACATTGTGCAAGAGTGAATCCCCGAGCCTAGTCTTGTTTTGTCTCGGTTGGCCAGCCGGAGCCTGGCCCAGTCGAACAGGCCCGGCCCGCTGCCTCTCCTTGCGATGAAGCAAGGCAGGTATTCATGAGGCACGGCTGTAGTAAGTAGGCATGTCCAACACGAGAATCGAGCGAAGTGGCTAACCCACACGAGATGCTGGATTCGTTCATGTCGTGTGGGGTCTGGGTCGGCGGATGTGGAGGCGGGTCTACAGGGTGCTGGAGCGGCAACCGCTGGCATACATGTAGTGTTGCATGTGGTCATGCATGCATGCATACTTAAAGCAAATAGGAGAGGATAGAAGAGCATCAACGGCCTTACAGGGTTACCAGGTTCCTCATGCTACCAGTCTTAGCAGGAACGGAGCCAGTGAGTTGATTTTCATACAGATACCTGAACGGAGCAACAGGGAATGCGATGCCAAGAGAGGCAGTGCAGCAGCAAGCAGGAAAGGCGGTAGTGAACCGGTTGGTGTGTACCATTAAATGTTGTCAAAATTTCTTGGAAGATTCCTTCATTGTTCTGGAGGGATGTGGGGGGTGGGGGGTGGATAGGTATGAGCATGAACCGAACTCAAACATGTTTGCTCAAACTTTTTGGAACCTTGCATGGTGCTCGAACATATTTTGGAAATTTGAGGTTTGAGGTTTGAGTATTTAATAGCGAACCCTTAAGGTTTGTTCAAACCTTTAAAAATGATTCACAATGAAATGTAAAGCGCATGCATGTCTGACGGTTCATGGAGAGCATTAAGTTCAAAACGCCGATGCGTGGCTGGCTGTAATTTGACATGGTTGTTGTTTTAGAACCTCCTTCAAAAACTTAATGTGGTGACCGATACTTACAAAACGGTATGCTCCCCTTAATCTCTGGGAAAAAAAAGGCGCACTGGTCTGTGACACTTAACAAGTAAACGTTTGACACATCTTAAGAGCAGATCTAGATCTAGATTGGTAGTGAGTATACATGGGCAAAAGACGAGTCGAGTTGTACTTGACTCGTTATGATGAGTTTTTTGTCGAGTCGAGGAAAGCTCGCCGAGTTTTTTGTGCCACAAAGCGAACTCGAAACTCGACCATTTTATCGAGTTTTTTCAACACTCGGACGAGTTCAAAGAAAACTCATCCGAGTCAAGTAAAACTCGCCTCGTTGTTAAACGCCCCCTTACCCACCACCGCACGAAACCAGCTTAGTGAAAGGAAATGCCGTGCGGGTCTAGCGGCGGAATGCTAGGTGCGGGAGGATCTAGCGGCGGAATGCTAGGTGCGGGCGGATATGGCCGCGGAATGCTAGGTGCGGGCGGGTCTTGCAACGGAATGCTAGGTGCGGGCGGATCTAGCAACAGAATGCTAGGTGCGGGCGGATCTAGCGGCGGAATGCTAGGTGCGGGCGGATCTGGCGGCGGAATGCTAGGCGCGGGCGGATCTGGCGGCGGAATGCTAGGTGCGGGCGGATCTGGCGGCGGAATGCTAGGAGCGGGCTTATCTGGCGGCGGAATGCTAGGTGCGGGCGGATCTAGCGGCGGAATGCTAGGTGCGGGCAGATCTGGTGGCCGAATGCTAGGTGCGGGCAGATCTGGTGGCGGAATGCTCACGAGCTCCAAAAACATCACATCCCAGGCTGAGGGATCTGAATATAAGGTATTGTGGAAAACAAACAACAACGGTCCACAGCACCCTGGTCGAGCTCCATAGATACTCTAAACCCTAGACACGAACTCGCCTCTTACATTCAGCCACCTCCCAAGTCCCACTGTGCACAACCAATGTCTATGTATTTTCTGAGTGTTGGTAGTTTGGAAGGGCCACCTTAACAACTGTTGGAATCTCTGGCATTAAAATCTACTAAAGCGCATTAAAACCCCTAAGAGCACTCCCTTGAACCGGAAACATGATGAATAGTAAGAAAAAGCAGTAAGAATACTCGTAAGCTTGGGAAAAAGGGAGTCTAGGTAGGAGTTGGAGCTCGAAATGAGCCCTTAATTATTTTGACAATAAAAAGAGAACCAGAGACCCAAGTCGCGCGGGTTGTCACGTCGAACCGGGACCGGTGCGATGCAAACCAAAGGACACGTGAAACAGATTCGGCAAAATAAAAACCTCTGTTTGGTTCAACTCAAAATGGCCGTGGGCTGACAAGAGCGCTAAGCCGGCCCAACGCGTGCGGCCATGACGGCTCAGGCCCTGCCCGCCAAAACGGCCGGCCCTCCTTGGCCCGACCTAGTTTGGACCTGGGTCCGGCTCTTGCTCATCCCTACTTAGCTTCTGACATTCCTGTGTGCAACTTACAAGAGAGTGAGTTGAACGAGAGCACTGACACTAACAGGAATGCTTCCTGAAAGCTGGTTCCGTGAAAGAGCCCTGAAGTTGAAAAGACAATCACCCAAGGCATAGAAGATACTCAATCTCAAAGACCTTTGTTTCTAAGGAAAGGAAGGAACTGGCAGCACGTGGGACTGGGGAGTGCTGATTCGGCACGAGCAACGAATGAACGGGTTGACCCGTCCTGACCCGACCCTCTACGGTCGACCCGAGCTGGTGGGTCTTATTGGTTTGGGTCAACCATGGGACAGCGCCCGTTGTTTAAGGACCTGTCCTGAATTTGAAGGTTCGACTTGGGGTCGACCTGAGCCTGGGTCGGGTAGAATGTGGGGCTGACGCAATGCACAATATTCACAGCTGGATTATGAAAACGTGAAAAAAGGGTCACGGTTCATTTTTCTGCTCACATCAGTGTATGAAAAATGAGAAACAAGCAGGAAGGTTGAAAAGAATGCACATTTGGAGTTTAGGGTTTAGGGTCTGAGAGGGAGGGAAATAATGAACAGCAGAGGAAAGATTCTTGGGAGAACACAAGAGATGTGCAAAGACAGCAGAGGAAAGATTCTTGGGAGAACACAAGAGATGTGCAAAGAACAACACTCTCTTCTTACAAGAATGACAACTTGGTGAGAACACCGATGTCAGCCGGGATGGGGCCGCTAAGCTGGTTGGCGACAAGTGACCTGTCCCAATTAGGGTGTGGGCAAGGGCATGGAATTAGGTAGACATGAGCCAGAAGCGAGTTGTGAAATACTCGCGTTGTATGGGGGGTTTCTCTTGTTGGCCGCTATTTTGGAATCTAGAAGCTCTTAACACACCTTTAAATCACACTACAAAGTCCCCACGGAGTGACCTCCAAGGGTCCCCGGGTGCCTGGTAGAACCAGCCCTATCCAAGGGTCCGTGTTTGAAGAGGGAATTCCCTTAGTGCGAAAATTGTCGTGCGTTCTAGAGCGCTCCCAAACCTAGTTGCGCAGCGTTGATGACGAAAAGGGCTCGTGTGCAGAAAATCTCTTCGCGTCAATACGATGAAAGAGTAACTTAACTCGTCACAATGATTCAGAAAATATTTTCACCAGAAAGAATTGATTACAATCAAGCACAAGCACACATTTTATAATTCGTCTAACACACATGCAAGGAAAAGCACAAAGCAGTTGGAAGGCGAAGCCCTTGATTTTTTGCCACGCTGTACTCGAAAAACGGTTGCTTAATTTGTTAGCACGTTGCCTTTTTCATCCTCTTGTAACATGAGGCAATTCCATTGCTGACTCCTCCCATGCACACTTGCAGTTTCATAAGCCCACATGAATTTCATGCGAGTTTACAGCTGTAAAACGGATTCAACCGTTTAGTGACGCGAGCAACCGTATTGTACCTGCGGCGAAATCATTCTTTAATGCGGCGTGACTTTCTTGAGAAATTTCGAGTTCGGCACGTCAGAAAAGACAGACTTGAGATTTAGTTGTTCAAACCGAAATCTCGAGTCAAATCCCGAGCACCCCTCGGGATCCCACGGCACCCCCCGAAACACACGCACACCCCTCAGGTGCGCAATCATGCACGACCGACTTTTCGGTCGTGCTGTACAGTGCACGGGCGTGCGCTGTATTGCGCGTGACAGGGCGATCATTCGCCCCGTCCTGTTGCGATTGTGGGCCCTGCCACGCGCGCAACAGTGCCAAGGCACATGCTCGAGCCCTGAGGGGCCACGCGCGAGATTTGGACCCCACGCGCGGTCCAGATTCTCGCGCCCTTTTTCCTTTAACTAGGGCGAAAGTCAACACCCCCAGTCAAACTATCGACCCCACAAAAAAACCCCACGGTACACCACTCGCTCGCATGTGCCACGCATGAAACATTTCAAACCAATGGGACTTTCATGGAAAAATCATTTTAGCCTCATTGGAGCTTCATGAGAGCTTTCATTTGAGCGCGTCATGGGAGCCTCATTTGAGCGCTTCATGAGAGCTTCATTTGAGCGCTTCATGAGAACAGTGAAAACGCAAATGAAAATGCAAAAACAAATGCGCACAGAACATACACAAAATGCGCACACACAAAATGCAGCATGAAATGCACAACTCCCACACGACAAATTACCTTAAACCAAAACACCCCATTTTCCTTCACCCATGCAAAACTCCGCCCCCAGTCGGGTCTTTGTGCTCATGTGTACTTGCATTTGGCTTTGCCAGAATGGAATTTATGTCTCAACCAGTTTGGATCTGATGGTCGGGCTGAAATTGATTTGACAAAACATGTGTTCACTGCTGGTTTCGACCGTACAAGAGAATAGTTCGACACGAACATAAACCCCAGTTGTTCCCTGAAACTCCCTAAAAAACGTATGGGTGGACCAGAGCCGTACGGGTTCCAGTCGATGCGTTACTGAATTAATGTGTTGAACTGGTGTGATGCAATGCATCATTTGGCACGTATGAAGACCAGGTTTTTGCTTCGAGATTTTGAACCGGTTCGGTGCAATGCATGATAGTCACAGCTGGAACATCAACCGGTTCAAGTAGAGCCCAGACACAATTCGTTGCGAACCAAAAGGCGAAAAAAGGGGCACCCATCGAGCCGAACTCAAAATTTTATGTTATGCTGGCAGTCTTTATGTTAGCATCCTGCACGATCGCTAGTCCATAGCTAAGTCACCGCAAATGCTTTGACAACCAAGCGTTTTGCTGTGAGAATACACTCAACGTTCAACCCTAGCGATTGGACAAAACAAATTGCGTAGTGTTTAAACCAAAATTCACTAGCGGAAGGGAAATCGTCAGAGCAAGTGTGTGAGTCGTACAAGTATGCGAGCTGTGAGAGCTGGGTGAGAGTGCTTGGTATGCTCCCATACAGCTGGTTGTAGGCGAGATCCCTGGTGGCCATGGTGGTGAGACAGAAGGATGTTAGAGTAACAGGAAGGATACAACCGGGGTACCATGTTGTTAGCGGTCCTAAAAATTGACGGGCTCAGCAGACACCAACCGTGGCTAGAGGCGGCGTGATGGTGATACAGAAGAATGGTGCACGGTTCAAGAGCTACATTAAAAAGCTCACATTGCTTACTGTAATTACTTATTTCATTCACTTGCAACATTCACGTTTGGCCGCGGCTCAGGACGAGCCAGCCCGGTTCGACTTTCCGCAAGCCACCAAAAGCGTAACTTTGCCAATTCGGCCCGACTTGGGCCAAACCAAGCTTGTCTGTCTGCTTATGCTAAAGAGAGTTTGAGGAGAGTTAGAGGATTAATATAGCACAAAATCAGAAGCGATGGTTGGTGTAGGCTAGTGGTTTCTCACTTATTTGCGCTGCCCATACATATTGTTTCCGGCCATTTCTACAGCTGAATTTATCTCTGGTGTAGATGAGGTTCAGTTCCTTGCTATTATCCTAGTCCGAACATGCTCTAGGTTCAGTTGGGGTTTCACCCCAACCTGCTCTATAACTAGGGATGAGCAAGGGGCGAACACGAACGTGTTCGCGTTCGCCCATGCACGAACACCCCTGTTCGGCGAACCGAACACTGTTCGGTTCGGCGAACACCTTAGCAAAAACAGGTGTTCGTCGTTCGCCTATGAAGGCATGTTTGGGCGAACCTCGAACACGTTCGTGTTCGTTGCGGGGCAAATTGTAGCAGGGGCCCGAACACGAACGTGTTCGGGCGAACCTCGAACACTGTTCGGCGAACACTTTAAGCCAAAAAAAAACCTGTTCGGTTCGCCTCGAACGAACAGGTGTTCGTTCTTTTGCTCATCCCTATTTGTAACCTTGTAGAGATGAGCACAGAACCGAGCGTAGGTTAACTTGGGGTTCGACTTGTACCTACCTATGTTCGGATTTCACAAGCAAACCATCAACCTAAACGGAACTGGTCCGGTGCAGTCCTTACAACAGTTCAGCGCAATTCAAAACAAACCCGGTAGGGTTCAATACTTGATCAAGTCTAACCTTGTATCTGGATGTTTTACCCAGCTCAGCCTTTTCCCTTGTCATAGTTTACTCCCTATTAGGAGCATGATCCAAAACCGACATGGATTGAACCGGTGTCCGAGCATGCAGTTTCATGGTGTCAAACCGTACCAGTTGGACAGGTAGGCTCACAAGCTGGGTCACCCCGAACTGGTTCTAGTTTGAATCGAAGGGGCACTTATTTAAGTGGGAAACAGCCAAACAGGCTCTGGTTCAGCTGTTTCAGATGCCTACTCTACTCAGAAGGGACAGTCGGCATATTTGTGATAACAGAAAGGAGAGACTACATAATCTCTGTTTTGGCTATAGTGGCACACATTTCTCAAACAGTTTGACCCGAACATGAACTCCAATTCTGCCCTGGAACTCCCTAAAAATCAAAAGGGTAAACTGGAGCCGCATGGGCACCGATCGTCGCAGGGATGGACTTACAGGATTACTAGTTTTGTCATGTTACCAATCTCAGCAGGAATGAAGCCAGTGAGCTGGTTGTTATGGAGATTCCTACACAGAGGCACAAGGAGTGCGATCACAAGAGAAGCAGAGAAAGAAGTAAGCAGGAAAGTTAGAAAAGTCTTGTCGGTCTCCAAATAGTAAGGGCCAGAAAGACACAAGAGTATAGTACAGTGATGATTGTCAGAACTTAGGCTTAGAACTGATACATTAGTAGTGAGCTCAAAGCTCTTTAAGTACATCAGGAATGAGCAAGGTATGGATGAGAAGGGAATCAGGGGGCAATCCTAGGGAATCAAGGGTAATCCCAAGGCAAGCTCCAATTGGTGGGTTGGAGATTGCTTGGAGATTACATTTGGGTTTGGTTGGGATGTGGGTGTACACCCAACCAAACACAAAGTGCAAACTACACTAAACTAAACTAGGATATAAAAGTACAAGTACAAATTGTGAGATTGAGGGCTAACACCAACAATGATGAGCAAACTCCCCAGCTCAGTTTGGCACATGGCGATTCGTCAAGTGTTAAACTCGGCCTTCGTTTGTCTCGGATGGCCGGCCTGAGCCCGGCCCAGTCGAAAACAGGAAAAAACTACATATTAATATGCGGCTCGGCTCCCGGGGTCGAACCAAAACACAAACATGTTCCGGTGAAGTCGAGCACGTCAACCCCAACAGAACTGGCAAACAAAAAATAAGCATGTTTTCTTGACCGAACACGTGTACGGCCTTTTGCTCGACGACGAGGTTAGATAGGACAGGGCTGAATCAAGCCAATCGGGAAATCAAACTGCTGAATCAGAAGCGGTTCGACCAGAGCTGGATGACAAAGTAGAGGACCAGGTTTGGTACTGTGCACATGCCTACTGCTCTGGCACGTATTGGTAAATTACAAAATCGAACCTAGCTACGTGTCGACCTATGCTGCAAACAATGGCACTGATTTACATGCATAATAGCACTTGGCTTCTTGTTTTCTGTTCTATCATCATTGGTCCAGAGCAATATAACCTTTACTTTCCGGGAATATTTTAAGAAATTCAATTTTTGCTTATCATTTGCTTTTAAGATAAAAACAGGATATTGCATAAACTTAGAAAAAGTTTGTAAATGTTGTTCAACCTGTGTGCGACTCACAAGGAAGTGACTTGAGCGAGAGCACTGACACTGGCAGGAACGCTTCCTGAAAGCTGGTTCATTGAGACATCCCTGAGATCAAAAGGACAGGATGCAGATGAATAGGCGATAATCACTCATGCAATATGATCTTTGTTAGCAAGGAAGGCAAGGACCTGACAACACGCCGGACCGGAGAGTACTGATGGATGCCGGTGAACGTACTGGAATAAGCTTCACCACGACCCAACCTGCTCTATAAACACATCGCACACATGCGATCCGCGTTTTAAATGCCTGCCAACACAAGCTAGAAATAGGCGTCTTATACGTTTGAGACACCTCTTGATAAGACCCCTGCTCATAAAACGTTGTCTTCCTATTCTGCTCTTCTTCAAACAGGTCCATGTCATGCTGCTCTGCAAGTAGCATGGCGCAAAGCTGCATTTCAGTGAGGTTCCATTATGCGCAAAAAAAGTAAACGACCCTGAGACCACTAAGGGCTAATAAAGTCAACAATCACTGCAACGAACACACCTACATAGAAGCAACCTCCACTCCTCACGTACTGATCTTGTAAGTGTTGCATCTTTTGCTGATTCGCTTGATTTCATCTGTATTGTTGTCAGTTGTAATGTGAGTTTCCTCTTCGTGATACTACCTGCTGCTTAATCAAGACAGTTCATATGCTGCCAATCGAGTCAACAGGGTTTCCACATTTGTGGTCAAACCTTTCTCTCGTCACCTAACTACCCTAGCACTCTATAAGGAGGGCCTTTTACTTGTCCAATGGGTCGACCCCGCCCGATCCGACATGGGTTTGGTTTGGACCAACCGAGGCGGGTCAGGTCAAAACCCTGGCGCCTCCGAACCGGCCTGGTCCTGTTGGGGTTGGTTCGGGTGTGATCCAAAGCTGTGTCAGATCGACCCAACCCTGAGCCTGGTCCAATGAACCGACAACAGCTTGGTAGGAATCGGCTGTTGTTTTTAAACAGATTTCTAGATTGTTTTTTTCTTCAACCAGATAAACTTTCCTCATTATCAACAAAACAAACACAGCCAAACATCTTATGCAGTCGAACCGAACATGTTCGGTTCAATTCGAACAACCTTCAAGGGACTGATGTTCAAAAGCTGTAGATTCTTACAGGTGCTACCAGCTTTGTCAGCAAGCCAATGCCAGCGGGGATGGAGCTGGTGAGCTGGTTCCTCGCAAGAGAACTATCCGAAACGGCGACACCAAAACAACACAATCAAACACCTTGTGTAGTCGCACCAAACATGTTCGGTTCGATGCTAACAGACTTCAAGGGACTGGTGGTCAGAAGCAATGTGAGCGGATTACGTATAGTAGGTCCTTACAGGGTTACCAGCTTTGTCAGCAAGCCAATGCCAGCAGGGATGGAGCTGGTGAGCTGGTTCCTCGCGAGAGAACTGCCCGACACAGCGAGGCGAGGGACAAGCGAAGACCATGCAAAGGAGATGGACAAGACACTCTGTTGAGAAGGTACGTAAGATGGCTGTTGTGGTGGCATGAGATCAGACATCAGTACAAGTCGAACTCAGGCTGGCCCGGTTCAAACCTCACTAGCCTGATAACCAGACCAGTCTGGGTTTGAGTCACTTCGGGTCAAGCTGTTTTCCTCCCTAGCTGCACCACGGACCGACTATATGGGTCTAACTAGTGGAGGTTCATCACGATCCTACGTTGAATTGTCATAGTTAGGGTTGAGCACGGGCCGGGCCGGGCCGGCCCGGGTCGGGCCAGGCTGCGGGCCCATGAAAAATCCGGGCCGGGCCTGGCCCGGCCCGACCCGGGCCAAATGAGCAAGACTCTGGCCCGGGCCCGCCCATTTTGTACTCGGGCCCGGGTGGCCCGACCCGGGCCGGGCCCAGCCCGGCCCGGGTGCACTTTTGTTATAGGTAAATGGTGTTTTGGACCTGTTTTAGAGAGGCAAACAAGTCTAGGGCCCGACCACGGCCGGGCCGGCCTGGCCCGCCCGGAAATGGCCTGGCCAAAAGCGGGCCACCCCCAGCCCGGCGGGGCGGGCCGGGGCCGACAGCCAAATTTTGAGGCCCGGCCCGAGGCATTTCCGGGCCGGCCCGACCCGGGCCGGGCCCAGCCCGTTTTTTTGCTCATCCCTAGTCGTAGTCTAGATCAAGTTTGGCATTGTTCACATTTGTTGTAATCCCATGTTCTGGAACTGTTCTTTGTTTCCTCCAATGAGTACGTTAGTGCCTAAGAACTTAAACTTGGGCAAAAATTTGTTGCAAAAAAGGTCGCCCACCCTGTTTTGTGCCAGCCCTGGTTCCGCCCTTGCGCATGCCTAACGAGTAGTACTAAGATCTTGATTGCACATTCCAAAATTGTATATTTACAAATGAAGTCAAAGGTCATGGATCTTTATTCAGCATTGATATCATTCGCAGGTCCATCTGGACCTTTGGGAACTTGGAACCAAGTTACAAGAAAGTAAGAGCACTGAGCGTTGTGATGGAGGAGGGCATAGATCCTGACAGCATGTTGTAACCGAGGGAGCTGTTGGTGGTGTTGAGTAGACACACAGAAATTGGGGTGACAAATTTGGGAGAGGAGATAGCATGGATGGAGTAGACATGAACATAAGTCTAAGTCGACGGCTCGGTTTGTCGGCTCAGATCGTTAGCGGGACGAGCTGGGCAATGCTCCGCCGGCTCTGCTGCTAGCTTGACGAACCAAGATCGTCAAGACCTGGCAGTCTGCTCGCAGATGATCACGATGACTAAGTGCACGAGAGGAGGCCATTGAAAATTTACGGTGAGAAAAATGGCGCGGGAACGTTTCCAACTAGAAGAATGTGAAATTGGAGAAGATCTGTGCCACGTGACAAAAAAACAAGAAGCTCCATAAAGGAGTGCGTGAATGGTTTCAGTGAATAGAAGAGGTTAAACATGTGCATGTGCGGTTGAGCCACTCTGATAACATGAAACAATGCATTAGGTACAATGCATTAGGCTATTAAGTACATCAGAAATGAATAAGAAATGGAATAGGTAGGGGATTGGGGGCGATTCCCAATGGCATTGGCTGAAATCTTCATTTGGTGGGTTGGAGATTTCAGTTTATCACATTTGCGAAAGGTTAAGATGTTGGCGTAACACCTAACCCACAAAAACAACTATCACACTAACTATGATATAAAAATTTCAAGTAAACAAGTTGAGATAGAGGACTAACTTTCACACAATCCATGCCGGAACAATCCCGTTCGAGTTCAATACTTGCTCAACTCTAACCTTGTGCCATGGTGTTTTACCAAACCCAACCCCTTCCCTTATCACCTACAACTCCCTATTAGGAGGTATGAGCAAAAATCAAACCAAAACCGGTTCTGGATTCGCTCTTTCCAAGCTGAGCCGATTCGGATTGACCCTTGTGGGTAGAACCAAACACATTTGACTGGTTGTGTCACAAGTCGGTTCAACCTGAAACGGTTATGGCCCTTTCAGCTGCTGCCCGGCTCCTCAAGTGGGGACCAGCTTGGCTTGACAGCTTGACAGCCCGCCAGCTTCTCGCTCAAAACGAGCCAGCTCAACCCAGACTTATGCTCATATGGCAGAGAGGAGCCTTACAGGGTTGCCAGAGATAGTAGAGAGCCGATTTCCACAGGGATTGAACCCGTGAGCTGATTACTCCTGAGGGTCCTGCCATTGCATACAAATGCAAGAAGGAACAACCATACCAGAAGGTCGCATAAATCCCAGAGCTAGCAGAAGAGCAGTGACACGTGTCAAATGGAGGACGGAGGGAGTGTCCCATAAAAATGGTTAGGATATGTCATGAGCAGGCTACTAAACCAAACTGGTTCGGTTATATATGCCTAAGGATCGATCTAGTTCGTTACCGAACCGAGGCGGTTCGTGAACAAACCGGTTTAGCTTAGAGCCAGATTGTAGTTCATTACATAAGGCAACAAACTGAACTGGTTCGGCCAAAACGGATCGGTTCCGAAACGATCAGAACTAGGTCGATTTGCCAGGACCCCGCGAAGTTCGATGAGGCCAATTTTCAACTGTCGAACTGTTCGAGTTCGACAGTGCACGGGCAAACCAGAAAAGTTCGCCCGAACAATTCGGCCGAACCGAACTTCGAGTTCAGCCAAACCACGTTTCAGAAAGTTAACGTTGGGTTCAACATGCGGTCGAACTTGTTGATCGAACCGAACCAGGGTCTCGTTGTGAAGAAAATATAAGTTGGCCACACTAAAACAAGGCAAAAATATGTGAGCACCACATTCAAACCACAACCCATCCATTCACAACACTGATGAAGGGTGTAACTGGGTGCCTCACGAGTGCCTTCAATGCACGCATGAATGTATGTATGTATCATGTCACCCCCTTATGCTATTAGCTCGCGCCAAAGTTGGAACAAACACTTAAAATTTTTTGCTTGTGGTGTTCATCCCCATAAGTACACTGCTTTTTTCTGATGGAGAACACCGGAATACGCATCGGCTGCGGAGATTTAAATTTTCGAGGAAAACGTGGGCTCGGGATATTTTGTCACAAAATGTGGATGATAGAATTGAGGCACAAAATCTAGTTGAACCAACTCGTGAAAATGTGAAGTGTTCGCTGAAAGCAGAAAAAAGGTTTCACTTAAAGAAAAAAAAAAAAAACAAATGAGTACCAGAACGTTCATGGGTAACGTCGCTACAGCTATTCTAGCATGTGCGCTGCCAAGTCAGCAACGATAGGTGAAAACATCTCATGTATTCTCTACATAACTAGGAGTAACTGTCCAAGTTTTTGCAATATTGGCAACTACACATACTTCGTCTGTGCAATATAGCAACTTCCTTCACTTAGGTTCTGTTCGTTTTCGCGTGTCAATCCCTGCAGGAATTTCCGCACTTTGCCACAAGGATTTGGAACAATACCAGCCGGCTCGGGGAAAAGCGGGAGCCGAGCCCAGTCAGCGGCTGACCCGGCTCCTCAAGTGGAGACCAGCTTGGCTTGACAGCCCGCCAGCTTGTCTCGCTCAAAACGAGCCAGCTCAACCCAGACTTATGCTCATATGGCAGAGAGGAGCCTTACAAGGATGCCAGAGA